AAAAAAAAAAAAAAAAAAAAAAAAAAAAAACTTAAAAAAAAAAAAAGGCCTGCAGAATAAAAACCTTAAAGAAGAAAATGTCCACACTTATGTACCTTCCCTTTGGCCCACAGAGATGGGCCAATAAGGTCTTTTATCTGCCAGGACCTTGGTTGCTATATCTACTTTATGGGTCATCTGAGGGCTTGCTTTAGAACAACTTTGTCAAAAAAAAAAAAAAGAACAACTTTGTCAAACTCCTCTTTTTCTAAACAATGAGTTAGTTAAAAAAAAAAAGTATCAGTGATTTAAACCATGAGATTAAATGCTGATGCAGCTTTTAAGTAACAAAAAGGCAAGTATGTGTAATTATATATGTAGTGAGAGTCTCAAGGTGTGAGGAGTTCTAAAATGGAGCTATATTATCTGAGGTGCCTAAAGAGGTCAAATTGTAAATATAAATATACTTCTTAAGCTGCATGCTCCCCACAGCCCTGAGTGCAAATGAGGGCGGGGGGACAAATGTGTCTTCCCTATGCCAGGCTCCGACAGGGAGCTCATGTATGTTACACCTTAATTCCTGTACCAACCCCGAGAGGGGGTGTTACCATCATACTCTCGCTCAAGACAAAAATGCCAGCACCCCAAGAATTGTGTGTCTTTCCCAAGGCCTCAGAGCTAAAGGATGGTAGAGCCAGCAGTCCACCTCCAGTGCTCCCGCATTTTCCCTTGGCATGAAGGTTGTGCTTTCCCAGACTGCTATGCCAGCCAGCCATGCTTCCAGGAGGAGCAGGAAGAGCTTGCCTCTTCTTCCCAGTTCCTCTACTTCATTTCCAGGCAGAACCCAGCCTCCCTGGCAATGTCTGCTTGCCGCCAGGACAGGGACTCTGGCCTCCAGCCCCTTTGGGAGTGCAGCAGGCAGGTCTGAAAGCCACAGGTGGGTCAGCGTAAACCACACAGCTACACAATTTCTGGCAGGCCAAGTGGGTCCAGTGAATGTGGGAGGAGACAGGGCTCTGCCAGGGCTTCCTAGTCCAGAACCTCTCTGGGAGCACCCCATAGCCCTCGGGGACTCTGTTCTGCAGCCATCTACTCCTGTCCCAGGTCTGGCAGTCCTGACACTGGGGGGGACTCCGCCTCCCCGTGCACCCAGGGAGTGGGGCTGGGTCCATGCCCTGAGTACTGTCCTTGTGAGTAATTCTGAAAGAAGAATCTATTGCTGACTCCTCCTTGGCAAGTTCTTTGGGGGTCCCAACTCCCTCTCCCAGCCGTACACACTCTTGCAAAGCAAACCTCTGTCCTGTGGCCCAAGGGTGGAGGAAGGGCAGCACTCACAGCTGGCATACCTTCTGTGACTACCTCCACCCCCCCACCCCCGTCAAAGTTGGGCCTTCCTTTTCAGTGCTCTGTGACTTGGACTCTGGTCAATATCTCCCACCCACTATGAGTGCCTGGAAGACAAGGATGGACCTTATTCATCCCAGCATCACCATTAGCAGCCCGTCTAGGGCTCAGTATTCACTCAACAAACATTCCCCGGGGCCCCTTCCGAGTGCAAGAGATGAACAAAGGCATGAGACCCTGCTCTCCCAGAGCTCACATTCCATCGGAGAGGCAGGCTCGAAACAGGACACTGGATAATGTCCGGTTCTGGCAAATGCTGCGAAGAAATATAAAACAGGTGGGGCGATTGAGAGCTGGCAGGTGGTTAGTTGGTCGGGGAAGGCTTCTCTAAGAAGGTGATAGTTGGACTGAGACTAAAGGGAGGCTCCGAGCCATCCAGTTATCTTGTGGAGGAGACCCCAAGCTGAGGGAGGAGGAAGTTCAAAGGCTCTAAGGTGAGAATAAGATTGCAGTAGGTGCTCAATAAATGCCTGCCAAGAGAATGAACGGGTGGCTGCAGCAGAAAGAGTGCAGGACTGGGGCACCTGGGTGACTCGGTCAGTTAAGTACCTGTCTTGGGCTCAGGTCATGATCCTGAGGTCCTGGGATCAAGCCCCGCATCAAGCTCTCTGCTCAGCAGGGATCCTGCTTCCCCGGCTCTCCCTGCCTGCCTCTCTGCCTGCTTGTGATCTGTCAAATAAAATCTTAAAAAAAGAAAAAAAAAAAGGAAGGGAGGGAGGAAAGGAAGGAAGGAAGGAAGGTAGGAAGGAAGGACTGGTGCAGGACTGCAAGTCAGAATGGGTTTAAGGCCCAGCTCTTGTCTCACTGAACCTATTTTCAAATATAGAACAAGGAAAGTATCTCCCCTTTAGGATTTTGTGAGTACACAAGATCATACATGTAAAAGCACAGTGTCTGGCATGTAGCAGGCTGCCAATAATGTTTTTTTTTTTTTAAAGATTTTATTTATTTATTTGACAGAGAGAGAGAGGTCACAAGCAGGCAGAAAGGCAGGCAGAGAGAGAGGGGAAAGCAGGCTCCCCACTGAGCAGAGAGCCCGATGCAGGGCTTGATCCCAGGACCCTGGGACCATGACCCGAGCCGAAAGCAGAGGCTTTAACTCACTGAGCCACCCAGACGCCCTGCCAATAATGTTTTTTGAGTGCATGGACAGGTGAGTGACTGAGACAGTGGACTCAAGAGATAGGTTGGGGGTGTATGGATGGAGGCTGTGCCCCCCTCCCCTCTCCCCCAGGACTAATAAGAACAACCCCAAGCCGTGTCTCCTTGTCTCAGGGCATGGGGTGGCCCAACAGCACCCCCCACCCTCATCACCCTTGTCTCTTCTCTCCCCAGGTCCCAGAGCAAGGCTGTGGCCCCTGAGGCAAGCCCAGAGAAGAGCTGCTCCCTCCACAGTGGCCCCCTGGAGGATCCTTCCAGTTCTTCAGGACCCCCACCAACAACTTCCACCCTCCAGCCTGTGGGCCCGTCCAGCCCCTTGGCCCCTGCACACTTCACCTACACCCGGGCACCGCAGGAATACCGGGGAGACAATTCCCTGCCAGGACTTGGGGACCGAGCAGCTCTATGCTCCCATGGCTCTAGCCTCAGCCCTTCACCAGCCCCCTCACAGCGAGATGGGGCCTGGAAGCCGCCATCTGTGCAACACCATGTGGTCAGCGTCAGGTAAGGAGGGATCCAGCAGCCTGCAAGCTTCCACTGGAAGATGGGGCAGGGCTTAGAAGTGGGGTGAGACCCCGGGCTCTGGACTCCTTCATTAAGAGGCAGCCCAGGATGTCCCTTGCCTCTGAGGGAGGAGGCAGCCTGGATGGAGGAGGAAGGAAGGGTTGGAGCTTGAGAGTAGAACAGCCTAAAAGGATTAATACCATCTTGCTCTGTCCCCACACCCTACCTCCCACCCTGCAGGGGGGCTCTGACAAGCAAGTGTCTTTTCTTCTCTTCCACAGGCAGGAACGGACCTTCCGGATGCCAAAGAGGTAGGCCCCTGGGCCTCTGGCCCCCTAGGGGTGACTAGGTGGGCACCAAGTCTGGCCCTGCCACCCCTTCCTGGTGACGCCTAAGCTCACCACAACCAACACCAGTTCCAGTGGCTTCTCTTCCTCTTTCCCAGCTATTCCCAGCTGATTGCTGAGTGGCCAGTGGCTGTGCTGCTGCTGTGTCTGGCTGTCATCCTCGTCTGTACCCTGGCTGGACTGCTGGGGGACCAGCTGCCCGACTTCTCCAAGCCCTTGCTGGTAAGAGGCTAAAGGGAGGGACTCCCAGGCCTAGCCACCTCAGCTCAGTCTGGGGCAGAAAGTTGGAGCGACCCAGCTGGGGGTGGGATGGCAGTGGACTCGACCCCCAGAGTGAGTTGGGGAGATGGTAAAGAGGGGATACTCTCATCCAATAATCCAGAAAGGCAGGCTGGCCTTCCCTGCTCCAGGGGCCCAAAGGGGCAGAGCCAAGAAGGGCCAGATGGGGCACTGCTCCTTTTGCCCACCTGATCTTCTCTGTCCCTCCCCCTGCAGGGCTTTGAGCCTCGAGACACAGACATCGGCCGCAAGCTGGTAGTGTGGAGAGCACTGCAAACCCTCACGGGCCCCAGGAAGCTGCTTTCTCTTTCCCCAGACCATGAGCAGAACAGGTACTGGGTTTCCATCTTTCCACTGTTAAAGGGAAAGGGGGAATGAGAGAAGACCTCCCAAAATCCAAGTCAGAGGGACTTGCTGGGGTCCACTGGGAAGGGGTGTCTGGCCTCCTCTGAGTCCCTATCCCTTGATGGTGCCTGGCATAGGTTTTTCTCTCTACCTTAGTTCCAACGCCCACACCACTCTGAGCCCCACACCCTGGAGCAGTACCCAGGAGGGCTTAGTCCGGCCTCGAAGGATGGTGGAGCCCCTAGAGGACAGAGGGCAGGAGAACTTCTTCTGTGGCCCGCCTGGTAAGCAGCAACCTGGCCAGTTCCTGCCTTTAATGGTGGCCCCCATTGTACCGACTAGAACTAGAGGGCCCAGGAGAACAAATTTGGACAGTCAGAAAAGGAAGGAAGCCAGCTGGCCACGTTCAAGTCATGGAAGTTGGGTTACAGTCGGGAGGCTGAGCTAGGCCTCAGCTGCTCCAGCCACACGAAGTCAGGCTGGGCAGGGGTGGCGGGGCACAGGATGGGGCAGCCAGGCACAGGTTTCAGACTCCTGAGAGTCTGAGCCTCATATGGCCCTGGGTAAGTGTCTTCCCTCCAACGGGCCCAGGACCTGATGCCAAAGAGCTGAATTCTGGGGTGTGTTGGGGGGTGTGTTGCAGATAAGAGCTATGCACAGCTGGTGTTCATGTCCACCTCAGCAGGCAGCCTGTGGAACCTGCATGCCATCCATTCCATGTGCCGCATGGAACAGGACCAGGTGAGCTCGCTGGGGAGGTGCTGTGGGTGGGAGGTGAGGCAGGGGGAGAGAAGGGACTCTTCTTGGCCTAATCCCAAGGAAATACAGCTGAGCCAGAACTGCTAGGGTGGACTGGGGAAGAGTATTCCCTGCTCAGAAAATTCTTCCAGTCCCTGTTGAAAGGCTCCAGGTTCAGGTGGGGAAAGAAGAGTCAGCTGTTCTTAGAGAAGCCAAGACACAGAGACTAGCAGAGCCTGGGGATTTTCAAAAGGTCCTGAAAAGGGGCGCCTGGGTGGCTCAGTGGGTTAAAGCCTCTGCCTTCGGCTCAGGATCGAGCCCCGCATGGGGCTCTCTGCTCAGCAAGGAGCCTGCTTCCTCTTCTCTCTATGCCTGCCTCTTTGCCTACTTGTGATCTCTCTCTGTCCAATAAATAAATAAAATCTTTTTTTTTAAAAAAAAAAAGGTCCTGAAAAGGAGCCTCAGGGGCTCTTGAGGAGGCCCCAGCCCAAGGCCTCCTCCTGATCAATCCAAGCAGTGCCAATCCGGTTCCCCTAATCCAAGAGCCAGATACCACCATAACATCTGAAGAGAGGTTTGTTGCCAAATAGTGTAAACACCATTGAGTAGCCCACGGCATCCACACAAGTGTATCTGACATACCAAAAGACACTGGTAAGGAACACGTGCCCTGGAGTCAGATTCCTGAATTCAAAGCCAGTTCTCACTCTCTCTCTCTCTCTCTTTTTTTTAAAATAAGAATTTATTTATTTTTTATCTGAGAGAGAGAGCTGGGGGAGGAGCAGATGGAGAGGGACAAGCAGGCTCCACCCTGAGCGTAAAGCCCAACATGGAACTGCATCCCAGGACCCCGAGATCACAACCTGAGGTGAAATCAAGAGTTGGACACTCAGCCAAATGAGCCACCCAGGTGCCTAAAGGCCAGTTCTAATAGCCCCCTAGCTGCGTGATTGCAGGCACATTTCTAAACCTCTCAGTGCCTCGGGCTTTGGATGTAGAAAATGGGGCAAATAATGGTACTTTTCTCATAAGGATGTTGTGACAACTGAACAAGACAGATTTGCCTGGCAAATTGTAGAATAATGACTGACAATAGAAATCTCTCAGTAAATGTTGCTGTTGTCACCATGATCTCAGGCCCAAGGCCATATAGCCAGTTGGTAGCAAAACAGGGCCTCTGATCCCCAGGCCAGTGCCCTCCAGAGCTACACCAGCTGTCATGATGTGTTGTGTTAATAGCAGGTGGGAGAGAAAAGGAGGCATGAGGTCTGAAAAAGAAATAGCTCTGTCACTAAGACGGTTTAAGCAGCCCAGTGGACAGAGGTAGGAGGCTACATTTGGCACTGACCCTGACCCTGGAATGTTCTGGTCCCTACTTTTCCCACTGTTTGCTTCCAATTCCCTGGACCCTTAACCCATCTGTGGCTGACATTGTCACTTCCACTCCTGGTTTAGGCAGGGCAGAATTGGGGTGTGTGACCTGCAGAGGCCCTTAGGGCAGGACCTCTCGGAAGGAGGCCTTGGACAGCATTCCTGAGGTTCCCCTTTGGTGGGTAGTCAAGATGTAGCCAGGAACTGAACACAGCTCTGAGATGAGCCTTGTCTGCTGGGCTGTCAGGATACCTCTCTGCCTCGGCCCTCTAGCCTGGTAGGAGGTGAGGTGTCCCTGGACAGGGGCCAGGGAACCTGGGCCCCTGCCTTGACCCTGAGCTCTCTCCTGCCCTGTGTGCTGTACAGATCCGCTCCCATAGCCACTTTGGGGCTCTGTGCCAGCGTACAGAAGCCAACAAGTGCTGCCCCAGCTGGTCCCTGGGCAACTATGTGGCTGTGCTCTCCAACCGCTCCTCCTGCCTGGACACTACGCAAGCCGATGCGGCCCAAACACTGGCCCTTTTGCGGGCCTGTGCCATCTACTACCACCGCGGCGCCCTGGTGCCCTCTTGTTTGGGCCCTGGACAGGACAAACCAGCACACTGCACCCAGGTGCCCACCAGGTGCTCCCGGAGCAGCGCTGTCTACCAACTCCTCCATTTCCTACTGGACAGGGACTTTCTGAGTCCCCAGACTGCCGACTACCAGGTGCCCTCCCTCAAGTACAGCCTGCTCTTCCTGCCCACTCCCAAGGGGGCCTCCATGATGGGCATCTACCTGGACCGCCTGGCAGTGCCCTGGGGGCTCTCTGACAACTACACGTCCATCACCGGCATGGACCTGGGCCTCAAGCAGGAGCTGCTGAGACACTACCTGGCCCAGGACACGGTGTACCCCTTGCTGGCCCTGGTTGCCATCTTCCTCAGCATCGCCCTCTACCTGCGTTCCCTCTTCCTCACGCTCCTGGTACTGCTGGGGGTGCTGGGCTCCCTGCTGGTCGCCTTCTTTCTCTACCGGGTGGCATTCCGCATGGCCTACTTCCCCTTCGTCAATCTGGCAGCCTTCGTCCTTCTCAGCAGCGTCTGCGCCAACCACACACTCATCTTCTTCGACCTGTGGCGCCTCAGCAAGAGCCAGCTGCCCTCGGGGGGGCTGGCGCAGCGCGTGGGCCGCACCATGCACCACTTCGGCTACCTGCTGCTGGTCTCGGGCCTGACCACAGCCGCGGCCTTCTACGCCAGCTACCTGAGCCGCCTGCCGGCCGTGCGCTGCTTCGCCCTCTACCTGGGCACGGCCGTGCTGGCCCACCTGGCCCTCACGCTGGCCTGGCTGCCCGCCTCCGCGGTGCTCCATGAGCGCTACCTGGCGCGCGCCTGTGCGTCCCGGGTGCAGGGCCCGAGGGCCGGCAGCGCGCCCCGGCGACTGGCCCTGGCGCTGCACAGAAGGCTCCGCGGTCTCCGGAGGGCGGCGGCCGGCACCTCGCGCCTGCTCTTCCAGCGCCTCCTGCCCTGTGGGGTCATCAAGTTCCGCTACATCTGGATCTGCTGGTTCGCCGCGCTGGCGGCAGGGGGCGCCTACATCGCCGGCGTCAGCCCCCGCCTGCGGCTGCCCACGCTGCCACCGCCCCGCGGCCAGGTCTTCCGGCCCAGTCACCCCTTCGAGCGCTTCGACGCCGAGTACCGCCAGCAGTTCCTGTTCGAGCGGCTTCCTCAGGGCGAGGGCGGCCATTTGCCCGTGGTCCTGGTGTGGGGCGTCCTGCCCGTGGACACCGGCGACCCGCTTGACCCTCGCAGCAACAGCTCACTGGTGAGTGACCCAGCCTTCTCGGCCAGTGGCCCGGAAGCCCAGCGCTGGCTGCTGGACCTCTGCCACGGAGCTCGGAATCAGAGCTTCTTTGGCGCCCAGCCCGAGGGCTGGCCCACGCTCTGCTTCGTGGAAGCCCTCCAGAGCTGGGTGGAGAGCCCCGCTTGTGCCCGCCTGGGGCCGGGCCTCTGCTGTGGCCACTCTGCCTTCCCTTGGGCACCCCAGCTTTTCCTTCACTGCCTCAAGATGATGGCTCTGGAGCAAGGCCCCAATGGCACCCGGGACCTGGGGCCACGCTTCAATGCCCATGGCAGCCTGGCTGCCCTGGTCCTGCAGTTCCAGACTAACGTCCAGTATAGTCCGGACTACGGCCAGGCTCACCGCTTTTACACTGAGGTTAGCCACTGGCTGGCGGCTGAGCTGGGCCGCGCACCCCCAGGCCTCCACCGGGGCTGGTTTACCAGCCATCTGGAGCTCTACAGCCTGCAGCACAGCCTGAACACAGAACCAGCTGTGGTGCTGGGCCTCGCGCTGGCACTGGCCTTTGCCACACTGCTGCTGGGCACCTGGAACGTTCCACTGAGCCTGTTCTCCGTGGCAGCCGTGGCGGGCACCGTGCTGCTGACTGTGGGGCTACTGGTTCTGCTCGAATGGCAGCTCAACACTGCCGAAGCTCTCTTTCTCTCCGCCTCTGTGGGCCTCTCGGTGGACTTCACAGTCAACTACTGTATCTCCTATCACCTGTGCCCACACCCTGACCGCCTGAGCCGCGTGGCCTTCTCCCTGCGTCAGACCAGCTGTGCCACGGCAGTGGGGGCCGCGGCCCTGTTTGCGGCCGGAGTGCTCATGCTACCCGCAACCGTGCTGCTCTATCGCAAGCTGGGCATTGTCCTGATGATGGTCAAGTGCGTCAGCTGTGGCTTCGCCAGCTTCTTCTTCCAATCTCTGTGCTGCTTCTTTGGGCCAGAGAAGAACTGTGGGCAGATCCTCTGGCCTTGTGCCCACCTGCCTTGGGACACTGGAACAGGAGAGCCGAGTGGGGATAAGGCAGGCCGCCCACGGGCAGGGCCAGCGGGAGGGGCGCCCGGATCATGCTCGGAACAGTACGAGCTCCAGCCCCTGGCACGGCGCCGGAGCCCCAGCTTTGACACGAGCACAGCCACGAGCAAACTGTCCCACCGGCCCTCTGTGCTCTCTGAGGATCTCCAGCTGCATGATGGCCCCTGCTGCTCCCGTCCCCCACCGGCCCCTGCCTCCCCGAGGGAGCTGTTCCTGGACCACCAGTCCGTCTTCAGCCAGTGCCCAGCCCTGCAGACATCCTCCCCTTATAAGCAGGCGGGCGCCAGCCCCAAGACCCAAGGCAGGCGGGACTCCCCAGGCCAGAAGGCTGAGCCTGCGAGGGCCTCACCAAAAGTCCCTGCCCACTCTCCCAAGGCCAAGGCTGTGGAGCCTCCTGATTGCCTCTGCTCTTCAGCCAGCACCCTAGAGGGCCTCAGCGTCTCTGATGAGACCTGTCTGAGCACCTCGGAGCCCAGTGCCCGAGTTCCAGATTCTGTTGGTGCCTCCCCGGACGACCTGGATGAAACAGAGCCAACTGTACCCGAGCGGGGCCAGCTGAACGAAAAGCGGGACACCCTGTGGCTTGCGCTGAGGGAGGCCGTGTACGATCCTTCCGTTCCTGCCTCCCACCAGAGCAGCTCATCTTGGAAGGGCCGTGGGGCCCCGGGGGATGGCAGCCCTGTGGTGCTGCCCAACAGCCAGCCAGATCTGCCAGACGTTTGGCTCCGCAGGCCCAGCACCCACACTTCAGGCTACAGTAGCTGAGGGAGGCCCGGACTAGGGTACAGAGCCTGTTGGAGGCGACAAGGTGGCCCCGGACTGAAGCTTGATGGTGTCTCCCCACCTCAGCACGGAGAGGTTTCACCATCCAACTGTGGAGTTTAAACCCTGCCCCATGTGGGTCAGCCTCGGTCCAGGCTGCTGCTTACTCCCCACATCTGGAAGATTCAGTGGGGTGGATCTTGGGAAAGAAAGGTCACAGGCTCATGTCTTGTGACTTGCTGATCTCTCGTCTGCCCCACCCCCCCAACGTAATGCCAGCCAGGACCTCTAGAAGGGGGAAGGCCAGATTCGTGGCTCCAGGTATCAGGGGGAGGCCGACCTGGCCCCCAAGCCAAGCGGGTGTGAGGGACCCAGTTCCTGGGACCCTGCAGGGCACCTCACCATCCAGAAGAGCCCTGGGGAACCCCAACAGCCTCTGGGACCTCACACCTTTCAGGGGCTCTTTATCAGGACACTCCCTTCTCTTCAGGGAGCTTCTCTGGGCCAGAATTAGGCTGAGGCCTCTTTCCTGAATGACCTTACCCCCCTCACACTCCCTAGGCTGATCAGGAATTCGTCAAGGCCGGGTAGAGATGGCTGCTGGCAACGAAGCAGGGGGAGGAAGGCCAGCCAGCCTCAGAGTGTCGTTCAGTTGCAGAAACAGTCCCTTGTGGGGAGCAGGAAGTGTGTGCTCCCCTGGAAACAAACAAGAACTCTTTATATCCTGTATCTTTTCCTTTACACAATACTTAACTTGCATACCCACGTCTCCTTGGAATCTCACCATTTCACTACAGGGTAGCCTGCAATTAGCCCGATCCTCCACCCCAACCCCCGGTTCATAGGTAAAGTCACTGAGAATAAGTAAGGTTAAGTGATTGACTCACAGTCTTAGAGCTCATAAGGGTGGGAGCAGGCTTCCTGCCTTGATCCACTGCTAGAATTCCCACTGTCCTGGTTACCTGCCCCAGGGCGTTGGCCTGTAGTTAACTTGATGGCTCACCTTGCAGGTGTTTCTGAGAATACCTCATCCCGCCCCTCTTCAGACCTCTGTCTCCAGACAGCGCTGTACTCTGAGCAAGCCGTGCTTTGTTCTACATCTGCCCCGTGCTTCCCTCCAGATCCACTGAGAACCTCCAGGCTCTGGGGCATCCTGGCGGAGCTGATTCCCCTGTTCCAGGGCATGCTTCTTCCATGGCCGCAGTGTGTGGAGAGGCAGAGGGCAGTAGAGGTTGAACAGAATTCAGCTAAGGCAGGAACTCAGGACGGTCCCTTTGGGGAGAGTGCGAGTCTAAAACTCTACCCCCAGTCAGGGAAACCCCAGCTTCCTACAGGCAAGTCTGTCTGGGGGCACTCAGGAGACCAAAAGGTGACTCCCCCTTCCCCAAAGCAAAGAGTCGCTCTGCAAAGTTTTATGCCATGTGAGAGCTCCTGGCCCTTGAAGCAAAGTTCCTCTAACACCTACTCTCATGTGGAACCATGAGGAGACAGAGGCCTGGAAGGGAAATTGAGCACCTGCCCTCGAGGGGCTCACATGCTAGCTCTTCCCTCAGGCATGGATGGGTCACTGGTGGCACCTTGCAGTGTGGGCTGAGGGCCATGTGCCTGTCACCATTCATATTGCTAGAGGTCAGGTACCCAGGACCGGTAACCAGGATGGCTTCCCTGAAGGGAGACAACTTGAGCTGGGCTTTGGAAGTCCAAGTGTCTCAGACTGGAAGGGACCTTAATGATCATTTATTCCAGCAGTTTTCAAGCTTTGTAGCCTCAGGATCCTTTCTTCAAAGAATCCTTGTGTGGAAACACAGTTACAAAACAGATAAGAAGCAGCAACTCCTGGGGTGGTGCTGGGTGGGTGTGTACAGAGTCAGCTCAGCCTCCCTTTCTCCTGGGCTTCTTGGGGGCCCTGGGGAACCCCACAAGCTCCCAGTAGCTCTAACAGAATGTGGTGTGAAAACCACCAATCCAGGTCGTTTTACAGATGAGTAACACAGAGAGGAAGGGATTCTTCTAGGGCCAGACACTCTGTGACCCAGCTAGAGGCAACTCAAGAGGGGTTTCTGTTTTGTTTTGTTTTGTTTTTTTCCTATATTCTTGAAACCTACCTCCCACCATAAGAAGCCCATGAGAAGTGGAGCAGAAATCCAAATGACACACAGGAGTTCTAGAAGCGCGAGAAGACCATGGGTGGGAATGACAGGCTACGTCAGCTCCTCTGCAAGCTGAGAAAATCAAACCCATTTGACCCCTGACCACCAGGAAGAGAAAGCAAGAATGAGGACCTAACTTGCACCTATTCTCTGGGAGGTCTGTGGGACCACTCTGTCTTCATGTCCAAGTGGAATTTCCTGTCTCTGGCCTGGGGCTGCTCATCAGGGTCTTGGTTTCTCTGCACTGTGGACCGTGTTCTTCTGTATCACACACCCATGCTTTGAGAGCCCTGGTCTCATCTGGGACAATCAGCCAGAGGGAGGACAAGGTGAGCCCTTCCTTCTGAGCATGAGCAGAAGTCTGGCCTTGACTCAAAAAAGAGACCAGCGTCTTAATTGTTTTTTTCCAAGCACCTCACCAAGGCTCTTCTGCCTTGTATTGTGGGGGTGGGCAGCAGGGACCTGGACCAAAAGGACCTGCTCTTCCACATCCTTTTTGTCTTGCAAAGGGAGACATGGTATCTGGGACTGGAGCTTTGAAATTTTGCCAGAACACAACCACTGAAATGTCAGAGAGAATACAGAGGGGTGGGTAGGGTGGGCATCAGGGATGTGGGCACAGCTGAGGATCCTACTCAGAGATTTCTGGGTCCCATTCTTGCAGGCCACAGCCACAAAACCCAGCAGGAAGGCTGATCAACCAGAGTAGCTGAGGTACAGACTGGATTTGGTCTTTATACCACTAGGCCCCAAAGACTGGAAGACCCCAGCGGTAATCTAAAACACCACCTCACTCCCAGAGTGGCCCATACCAACAGCAGGCAACCCATATTAATGGATAATCTAGCCTGCCTCTCCAGCCCCAACTCTGAAAAGCAGGATTTAAAGTATTGTCAATTTCCTGTAAGTTTCAGCAGACCTATTTGCTTCATTACATTATCAGTGGTTACAAGGAGTATATGGCTCAGAAGCATGCTGAGGCAGGGGAAAACCAGCTAAAGCATTCATGTTTGCTCTGTGAAATTCGAGAAATGGTTTCTTAACACTGAGACACTTTAAAATAGAACTACGTTGACACCCATTTGGGACTTAAGGTCCTTTCTCCTATTTGTGCCACAGATCCTTGAACTTCCACTCAGAGTATGAGTACGTGTGCTGTATGTTTTTAAAATGTAACTTGGTTTACTTTGTCACTATGGGAAAACCCATCCTTCCATGGCTGTGGTGCTTTGTTGACAATGATGGAGATTGGTTTGACTAGCAGACTCTTAGATTGGCACATGGCATAAGTGATACCATGATACTAAGGCAATATCCCAGCCTAAGCCCGATTCTAAAAGAGACATCTTGCAAGAGATTTATAAGCCAAACTTCCTCAGCCCCATCTAAATCATTCCATTCTTCTCCCATTGCATGACAGGACAGAGAAGCAGGTGAGAGGTATCAGGAAAGAAGATGCATTGGTTTACAACCTTCACACATTTATCTGGAGACTTTCTGATCTTTTCTTCCATGGTGGCCTTTGATAATACATATGGGCAGTGACAGCGCTCTGACACCCCATCCCATCCATCAGGACTCCATTTGCTTTGGGATAGAAAAAACAGGCATTCCTCACCCTTTCCACACACACCCTTGATCCCAGGGACAACTATAACTCAAGGTCAGGAGGTGTTTATGCATAAGAGAAGAAAGTGTAACTCAGTTCCACGGGAAGAATACAAAGGAAAGCCACTCTGTGCTATGTAAATGATTGGTTGTCCAAAGCCACTCTGTGTTGAAAAGCCCTGGAAGGACCTTGATAAAGTTGTAATCATTATCAGGCTTCTGTGTGATTATTCAGTTCTGTGCCTTCTTCATTTAAGAATTCAAATTCAAGAGTGAAAGATTGATACAGAGAGCATATTAACCACATTTGTTTGAACTGAAAAACAGTATCAGACTTTTATTATAGAAAGTCAGTCTGGGTGCATCTGGGTGGTTCAGTTAGTTGAGGGTCCAACTCTCGATTTCTGCTGGGGTCATGATCTCGGGGTCATGGGGTCAGCCCGCATAGGGCTCCATGGCCTGTGGGGAGTCTGCTTAAGATTCTATCTCTCTTGAGGCACCTGGGTGGCTTAGTCAGTTAAACATCTGCCTTCTGCTCAGGTCATAATCCCAGGGCCCTGGGATCAAATCCCACTTCCGCTCCCAGCTCAGCAGGAAGACTGCTTCTCCCTCTGCCTCTGCTGCTCTCCCTGTTTCTGCTCTCTCTGTCAAATAAATAAAATCCTTTAAAAAAGATTCCCAGGGGCGCCTGGGTGGCTCAGTGGGTTAAGCCTCTGCCTTTGGCTCGGGTCATGGTCTCAGGGTGCTGGGACCAAGCCCCACATTGGGCTTTCTGCTTAGCAGGGAGCCTGCTTATTTTATTAAGTTATTTTATTTAGTTATTTTATTAAAAAAATCTTTGGGGCACCTGGGTGGCTCAGTGGTTTAGGCCTCTGCCTTCAGCTCAGGTCATGATCTCAGGGTCCTGGATCCTGGGATCGAGTCCTGCATCAGTCTCTCTGCTCAGTGAGGAGCCTGCTTCCCCCTCTTTCTCTCTGTCTGCTGCTCTGCCTACTTGTGATCTCTCTCTCTGTCAAATACATAAATAAAATCTTAAAAAAATAAAAAAATAATAAAAAATAAAATCTTTAAAAAAAAAAGATTCTCTCTCCCTCTCCCTCTGCCTCTTCTCCCCCCAATCTCCCTCTAAAATAAATATTTATTTTTTTTAAGATTTTATTTGACAGAGAGAGATCACAAGTAGGCAGAGAGTCAGGCAGAGAGAAAGGGGGAAGCAAGCTCCCTGCTGAGCAGAGAGCCCGATGTGGGGCTCGATCCCAGGACCCTTGGATCATGACCTGAGCTGAAGGCAGAGGCTTTAACCCACTGAGCCACCCAGGCGCCCCATAAATAAATCTTAAAAAAAAAAAAAAAAAAAAAAAAAGATAGCCAAGGGGCGCCTGGGCACAGAGGTTTGGCTTTGCACATAGGATATACAGTGGGCATTTTCCAAAAATTGAATGATTTAAATCTGCAGCTCCATGGTTTGA